CAAAGCTGCTGTAAGTCATTTTGATATCAGTTTATGCCACTGTTTATATAATGATTATAACTATTGCAGATATCAGCAAATACTTTAAGGGACACATACTTGTCATTCTTAAGGTTATTTAGACTTAGTTACCAAACCAGGGAAAAGAGGCCGATCGTGAGCGGAGCTACAGATGGCTGCAAGCATTTTGCTTAGACAGGCTTTTCTTTGAGAGAAACGCTTACTACTTCATTACCTGCGAATCATTTGTGTTCTGACCACATGTGTTTGGTTGTACACTATATCAATAAAGTGTTTAGACTTTTAAAAACACTGTTGAAATACATTGAGCCAGAATTGTTTTTATGATGCTTTTCTACAGGAGGAAAATGCAAATTACTTCCAAACACTTCACATATAGGGCTCTATTTTGACGGTCCATGCGCAGAGCACAAGACGCAGGGCGCAAACGCTTTCAGAGCGTGACAGAACACATTTTTGCTTATTTAAGGATGGGAAAATCCGCTTTGCGCCGTGGCGCATGGTCTAAAAGGGTTGAGTTTATTTTCTTAATGAGTTATAGGTGTGTTTTAAGAATAAACCAATTAGAGTCTCATCTCCCATTCCCTTTAAGAGCCAGCTGCGTCGCGCCAAGAGCGCATTCGCTATTTACAGGACGCAAAGTAAGTCTAAGTGGAAAAAATGAGCATTTCACAAGCAAACAGTTAACAGTTGACAGTTTTTTAACAGAAAACTGTTAAACAGAGCATCTACTGTGTGAGAATGAGAGATAATGGATCTACTTTCACATTCGCTCTTTGATAGGGAAACCTTTTCGCACAGACATAGATTAGTCTATAAATAAATAATTTCGTTTGTTAAGCGCAAATATTCGTTTCAAAACTATTTCCAAATTCAGTTTTAATTTCCAGCAAACGAATAAATGAACAATAATAACAAAGTGTGCTAAAAAAGCTGAGTTATATCCTAAAACACATGCAGAGCCCCATATGGTCTAAAACCTGACAGGTGGACAAATCTAAGCTTGTTTTTAATAAAACAAATATAAATATGGATATAATAAATAATACTGCTAATAATAATAACATTATACAAAAGCAAATTGTTATGAATGAACTGAAAAAGCCTCCCGAGATGAAGAAGACATAAAAGCAGTGATTTTTCATATTTATGTAGGCTAGAAAATAATGTTTTGTAATATAACTATATCTATTCTTATTATATCCTATATATTTCCTTAATATTTAATTTTTTTCATATGTAAAGATATTTGCCTATTGCTTTCTTGTGCGTATTAAGCAGTGCCCAAGCGAAGCGAGGAGTTTAGACCGGGTTTGTTTGGGTCTAATGAAAAAATCTATTTTAGTTTCTCAAAATAGCGATGCGCCAGCGGTTAGCCTTATGCATTTGCTATTTAAACAGCGTAGCGCAACGCCTCAAAACGACTCTTGCGCCAAGCTGAAACTACCAAAAGACTATTGCGCCGCGCCTTGCGCCACATTGCGCCGGGTGTATGATAGGGCCCATAGTCTGGGTTAGTAAATGCAGGAATATTTATGTAATCCAGGGAGAACACTGTTTGACAATGTTTCAGATGACTGTTCTAGAGCCTACAGCTAATCAGTCTGGCAGATTCTGGAGTGCATTACAGCTCTAAAGAAAATTACAAATGATAAATGATCTTAAATATAACAAATACATTTATTGAGATGGTATTTAAGTATAATTTCACTCACCTGGGAAATGGAGGCCACTTAATTGGTTTGTGAGCACAATTAAGTGCATTGTAGGACATAATTACAAAAGGCAAAATATATGTCTATATATATATATATTTCCAAAATATATTTACAATTCCAAAAATGCAATATATATGCCAACTTCAGCAGCTAATCAGCCGGAATCAGCTGAGGTGAAGTGACCTAGCTGTCACTCAAGTGGCCCCGCCCTTAATTATGCAGACTTAATAAAGCTTAATATAAACTAAACGGATAAGTCACAAAAAATTCACTCCCTCACAGTTGTCATGATGATAATAGATGATAGTTGTCATGATGTCATGATGATAATATTAGCTATATGCTCCAAAACCATCTTTTGTACCCAGCTGTAAACATATGTTTTTCATCAGCTGTAAAATTTGCCAATTTAGCATTGCAGTCAGTGAATATCTGGAGTATGGAGCCCACAAAAGGCGAGTCAATAAATTGCAGTTTTAGTTACTTCTGTATTGGCTTCACGAAGGAAAGTGGGAGGTTGTCGCTTGGTCCCGACACATAGGCATTTGTAGCTCCGCCCTCTTTCGAAAACAGCACAATTTAATCTGAATTTAAAGCAACAGTCACCAAAACGGCAAAATTAGGATCAAAGCCTAAAAGGAGCAGTTATAAAGTTAATTCATTCATTAATTTTCTTGTCAGCTTAGTCCCTTTATTAATCTGGGGTTGCCACAGCGGAATGAACCGCCAACTTATCCAGCAAGTTTTTACGCAGCGGATGCCCTTCCAGCCGCAACCCATCTCTGGGAAACATCCACACATACACTCATACACTACGGACAATTAAGCCTACCAAAGTCACCTGTACCGCATGTCTTTGAACTGTGGGGGAAACCAGAGTACCCGGAGGAAACCCACGCGAATGCAGGGAGAACATGCAAACTCCACACAGAAATGCCAACTGAGCCAAATATCGAACCAGCGACCTTCTTGCTGTGAGGCGAACGTGCTACCCACTGTGCCACTGCGTCGCCCAGTTATAAAGTTATAAAGCATTATTTGTGGGGTGTTTTAAGCTAAAACTTCAGGTATACACTCTAGTTACATCAGAGACTTATTTGACATCTTGTAAAATAAGGGGCCTAATAGGTTTCCTGTAAGTAAATATTTAATAAAAACTATGACAGCAGTAAGGTAGAATGTAAATGTGCTTGCAAAATGGCTTTAATGTTGTTTGTGTATTTGTAAATATATATATAAAAACTCTAAAAATAATTGAAGTCATGTAATGCCCATTAAGTCAATATATTGATTATTGTGACATGCCTAACATTAAGGGCTCTATTTTGACGATCAATGCGCAAAGTGAAAAGTGCAGGGCGCAAAGGCATTAACGGCGTATCAGAATCCACTTTTGCTATTTTAAGGATGGAAAAATCCGCTTTGCGCCGTGGTGCAGGGTCTAAATGCTTGAGCTTATTTTCTTAATGAGTTATAGGTGTGTTTTGAGAATGAACCAATCAGAGTCTCATCTCCCATTCCCTTTAAGAGTCAGTTGTGTCGCGCCATGGTGCATTTGTTATTTACATGGCGACTTTGTAAGTAGAAAAACTGAACGCTTCACTAGCAATAAAACAGAGTATCTGCAGCGCCAGAATGAGAAATGAGCCTCCTCATTATCTACTTTCACTTTCGCTCTCGTGGATATGAAAACCTTGTACACACAGACATCTATTAGCCTATACATAATTAATTTAATTTGTTAAGCGCAAATATTTGTTTCAAAACTATTTCTAAATTCAGTTCTAATTTCCAGAAAACAAATAAATGAACAATATTAACGAAGTTTGCTCAAACAACTAGTTTTATTAGTTAGTATCCATTAGTTATATCCTAATACACATGCTGTGCCTCATATGATCTAAAACCTGACAGGTGGACAAATCTAAGCTTGTTTTCAATAAAACAAATATAAATATGGATATAATAATTAATGATAACATAACTAATAATAATAACATTACACAAAAGCAAGTTTTCGTGAATAAACTTCAAATTGAATGAACTGAAAAAGCCTCCCGAGATGAAGAAGGCATGAAAGCAGTGGTTTTTATATTTATGTAGGCTAGAAAATGATATGTTTTGTAATATTTTAATTATTTATATCCCATATATATACAGTTGAAGTCAGAATTATTAGCCCCCCTGAATTATTCGCCCCCCCTTTTTATTTTTTCCCTGTTTTCTGATTAACGGAGGGAAGATTTCTTCAACACATTTCTAAACATAATAGTTTTTTTAACTTATTTCTAATAACTGATTTATTTTATCTTTGCCAAAATGACAGTAAATAATATTTTACTGGATATTTTTCAAGACACTTCTATACAGCTTAAAGTGACATTTAAAGGCTTAACTAGGTTAATTAGGTTAACTAGGCAGGTTAGGGTAATTAGGCAAGTTATTGTATAACGATAGTTTGTTCTGTAGATTATCGAGAAAAAAAAATTGCCTGAAGGGGCTAATAATTTTGTCCTTAAAATGGTGTTTAAAATATTTTAAACTGCTTTTATTTTAGCCGAAATAAAACAATTAAGACTTTCTCCAGAAGAAAAAATATTATCAGACATACTGTGAAAATTCCCCTGCTTTGTTTAGCATAATTTGGGAAATATTTAAAAAAGAAAATTAAATTCAAAGTGGTGCTAATAATTCTGACTTCAACTGTATATATATATATATATATATATATATATATATATATATATATATATATATATATATATATCCTTAATACTTTAATTATTTTTCATATGTAAAGATATTTGCGTATTGCTCTACATCTTGTGTGTATTAAGCAGTGCGTAAGCGAGGCGCACAACTAACGCACGCTGCGCTGAACAATACACCAGCTTGGTTCTGGTCTATAGAACAGACTATTATAGTTTCTCAAAATAGCAACACACCAGCAATGCTCCTCAAAACACCTTTCTTTTTTAGACCAGAACGCCTATGGGCGCACATATGAGCGCAAATGCATTTGCTATTTAAACAGCGTGGCGCAAAACGTCAAAGTAACTCTTGCACCAAGCTGAAACTAGCAAACAACAATTGCGTCGCGGCTTGCGCCACATTGCGCCGGGTGGATGAAGGGCCCTAAGCCCTACAGAGCACATGTGTTCGGAGAATATGAGATTTTGTTATATTCTGCTTTTGTACAGTGTTTTCCTGTAGTGCACTCTCTAATGAGGAGAATATGTCTTGTTTCTGTTTCTCCTACAGTGGCTGGTTGGCCACCATCACTTTTTTCAGCACTAATATCGGCTCTGCTGTTGTTATGCTGATTCCAACTATAATGTTCACTGCCGTGGCCGTGCTCTCCTTCATCGCCCTCACTAAGGTACCAGTTGGTGTTCCTTCATTATTACTTCTCTGAATATACACACATCTCATGAGATTCCCTAAAAATATACTGTGTAATAACCTTTTTTTTATTAAGGTTTACTGTACACAGAAAATACACAGTGTTCTATTAATCACATTTTTTCTGTTTCTTTCTTTTTTTGATTTCCATTAATGATTGGGACTTGTAAATATGTGCATGTATAAATGGTTCATGGAGATTAGTTTTTACATTTGTGAGTGTACATTTGGATATTTGTATCACTGGATTATGCAGGTTTATATACAGCTAAAGTCAAAATGATCTGCCCTCTTGTGAATTTTCCTCTTTTTCATACATTTTCCAAATGAAGTTTCACAGAGCAAGGAAACTTTCACAGTATTTCCTATAATATTTTTTCTTCTTGAGAAAGTCTTATTTGTTTTTTTTCGGCTAGAATAAAAGCAGGCTTAAATTTTTAAACACCATTTTAAGGTCAAAATTATTAGCCCCTTTAAGCAAATGTTTTTTTCTGTTAGTCTAAAGAACGAACCATCGTTATTAGGAATGTAACGGTATCAGAATTTCATGGTACGGTAATACCTCAGTATGAATGGCACGGTGCGGTATTTATTGAATAATTTACAGGAAAAACAAAGCTAATGAAAAGACTCGAAAAAAAGTGCCAAAAGTGTTTATTTACCTTAGCACTGAATCAATGGCATACAAATTAGCCATCTATCTGTAAGTTTCGAAACAGGAACTTCAATTTTTCAATTTTAATAACAAAAAACTATTAAACCATATAGAAAAATAAAGTTTCAATTTAGTATTGTTGAAAACTCATCACATTCAACATTTAATCACTCACTCACTTAGATAGAGATGGGTTTTTTAAGGAAAATTATCATAGAACTATAATCTGGTAAAAGCTGGGATCTCTGGGCATGTCCCCTGCAACAGAAAAAAAAAAAACCCTCTCATTTGGGACTGAGGTTTCTGGGACAGAGAGATATGATTTATTGAGTGATGTGCCTACGGTAATATTGAAAAAAATTATCATTGCGGTATGACGGTATTTACAATATTGTTACATCCCTAATTGTTATACAATAACTTGTCTAATTACCCTAACCTGCCTAGTTAACCTAATTAAGCTTGTTAAGCCTTTAAATGTCACTTTAAGCTGTATAGAAGTGTCTTGAAAATATCTAGTCAAATATTATTTACTGTCATCATGACAAAGATAAAATAAATCAGTTATTAGAGATGAGTTATTAAAACTATTATGTTTAGAAATGTGCTGAGAAAATCTCTCCGTTAAACAGAAAATGGTAACAGTATCTGGATGCAGCCTTTATGATGCAAGCTCAGACTGCATCATTCAGAGATACAATGTCAGACACTGCACTCAAATGGAGCTAGTGATGTCACTGTGACGGGTTGGGTTAGGGGTTGGGTTAGGTGAGCCCATTAAAAAGCATTGGATGCAGCCCAGATTGCACTGCACCAGGTCTGCAGCCAGACCCCTCTCGAAAATGGGGAAAAAAACATACAGGGGGCGAATAATTCTGACTTCAACTGTATGTTTATTTTACATACGTTTACCTGCTGGCGGTGAAACATAACTTAAATGTTTATTTCTGTCTCAGGTCCACAATTTCTACCGTGGCAGTGGGGGCAGCATGAGCAAGGCTCAGGAGGAGTGGACATCCGGTGCCTGGAAGAACCCTCACGTCCAGCAGGCGGCGCAGCAGGCGGCCATGGGGGCGGCACAGGGGGCCATGCAGGGCCAGCAGTACTCGGCCGCACCGACCTACAACTACGACGATCCAATGTAGACCCTCTCCATTCACAACAGAGGGAGGGAACAAAAACAGGGTTTCTGGGAGGGAATTTCTAAGGGGGAAAAGCTGCGGACTGGTTTAAAACAGGGGAGGGGAAAGCAAAGATATGGCCAAATTAGAATTTTCGCAACTACAACAATACAGAAGCTAAATGTGTTGATAGTTTAAGGAGTTGCGTTTTTAGAGCCCCTCAATAGGAACGTCACTCTCGCCATGTGGTATTACAGTTAACTAATGGTATGTTGTGTTTCTCCACTTGTCGTATTGTAAACATGACTAAACTAGAGCACCAATAAGGAAACATTCCAAAGCTCACTATAGTATAACTAGATCTGTCAGAATTATCTGTGTGGTGTTTGCAAGCCAGTTATATATTTTGGTTGGCTTACATATTCAAGAACGTTTAGCAAACGCATCTTAAAAAGGACAGTTCACCCTAAAATAAAAATTCTGTCATCGTAAAGTGGTTCCAGTTTCCTGTCGAATGCAAAATAATATATATTATGTAGAATGTTACTAACATTCTACAAAATATATTATTTTGTTGAACATACTCATGAAGGTTTGAAACCACTTGATGGTGAGTACAGTGCTTAATTTGTAAATGAATAATTTCCGGGTCAAAGCAGGAAATAAAATTTCGTTCGCCGACGTCCTCCACACAATTTCAGTTTTTCAAGAACATGACATAACTAAGCGGTTATAGCTCCCCAAAAAAAAAGCACAACATTTCTGAACGGTCTTGAATTATTTTGTGCAATATAACGTTATGGGTCGACCATGGATGAACAAACAAACAAAAGCAAACATGTAGCCTACAAACATAAATCGCATGAAATATCACTATTCAGTTCACTACCACTGACATTATGCCAAGCGAAAATTACTCACTCTGTAATCTTCAAGAAGAGCCCACAGTTGCCTCTTCTGTTTATGACTTGAGATCGTTTTGCTTCTGTCTTCCGCTATCCTGATCCAAGGGCGCAGTTTCATCTTCTCTTGATCAGGCTCATTATCAGATTTACTCGTGGTTTTAAAAATTATATATGATTAACAGCCTCTCGCATTTTGAAAATACAAATATTATTTAGGTAGCCCACTACGGCATTATTTATTTTCACTGCTCACTGCACACGAAACAATAATCACCAACCAGTGAGAGTGATTGTAATTGTAAGTAAGCTAATTGGTCAAAAGTGACTATTCTTATGGGCTCTATTTTGACGATCCAGGCGCAAAGTGCAAAATGCAGGGCGTAAACGCATTAAGGGCGTGTCGGAATCCACTTTTGCTATTTTAAGGATGGAAAAATCCGCTTTGCGCCGTGGCGCATGGTCTAACAAGGTTGAGCTTGTTCTCTTAATGAGTTATAGGTGTGTTTTGAGAATAAACCAATCAGAGTCTCAACTCCCATTCCATTTAAGAGTCAGTTGTGTCAGGCCATAGCGCATTTGCTATTTACATGACGGAAAAACTGAACGCTTCACTAGCAATAAAACAGTTAAACAGACCATCTACAGCGCCAGAATGAGATTTCACTTTCACTCTTGTGGATAGGGAAATGTGTTGTACACACAGACATCCATTAGCCTACATAATTAATTTAGTTTGTTAAGCGCAAATATTTGTTTCAAAACTATTTCTAAATTCAGTTTTAATTTCCAGCAAACCAATAAATGAACAATAATAACCAAGTGTGCTCAAACAACTAGTTATATCCAAATACACATGCTGTGCCCCATATGATCTAAAACCTGACAGGTGGGCAAATCTAAGCTTGTTTTTAATAAAACAAATATAAATATGCATATAATAAATAATACTGCTAATAATAATCACATTATACAAAAGCAAATTGTTATGAATAAATTGAAAAAGCCCCTGAGATAAAGAAGTCATGAAAGTATGGTTTTTCATATTTATGAAGGCTGAAAAATAATATGTTTTGTAATATTTTAATATTTTATATTTATATCCTACATAAATCCTTTAATTCTGTTTCATTTGTAAAGATATTTGCGTATTGCTGTACACCCTGTGTGTATTAAGCAGTGTGTAAGCGAGGCGCACAACTGACGCGCTCTGTGCTGGACTATAGACCTGCTTTGATTTGGTCTATTGAACAGTCTATTATAGTTTACTCAACGCACCTCCTTTTTTAGACCAGAACGCTTATGGGCGCACATATGAGCGCAAATGCATTTGCTATTTAAACAGCGTGGCGCAAAACGTCAAAACGACTCTTGCGCCAAGCTGAAACCAGCAAACAACTATTGCGCCGTGCCGCATTGCGCCGGGTGTATGATAGGGCCCTATCTGTGTGTGTACACAATCCACACAGCTTTGCTTGGTGTTTTTCACTCGGACTCATTCTCTCTCTCTAACACACACACACACACACACACACACATGCAGGTATTCACCATGCAAAAGTTAATGCCGAATCAATCAAAACAAATACCGGAATGCAAAACACGAATATCTAACATTTTCCAGAACAGGATCCGGCAAGATCCAGCTCAAATTAAGCACTGGGCGAGTCCATGGGGAATTCATTGTTATTTTTGGGTGAACCCTCTCTTTACGACCCTTTCACACTGAATGCAGTTAAGCGGCACAACATGAAGACACTCTTGAATTAAAACTATAGATCCCTATGAAGCCATTCACACTGGCTGTGATCAATGGCAGCGTATAAAACTGAGGCTTTTCCCCCTCCATCTTCTTCCATGATGAAATGGGTCATCCGATTAAATATGAGCTTTAGATCATGTGCGCAAAAAGGCTAATTTTAGGGTGCTTAAAGAGAGAAAGCTGAAGAAAATCTTCATGGATGTCAAGTTATTGTTAATATTATCTATGAACAGCTACTTTTTTTAATAGACTACAAAAACTGAAGTTCTGTGGCAGGGAATAGCAGGGAAAATGGGAACAGAGGCTTAATATTTCATTAAAGTCACAAGCATGATTACATTTGCACTTGTAGTGTAGAGTCAGGAGCGCCACCTATTGTGCAGAAACTTTTCCTTTAATCACATTGCGCTCAGTGTGAAAGGGCCTTTAACATCCTAACATACATGTTATGCACAGAGAAAAAAAGATTGGCTTCCAGGCATAAATTCACTAGTTTTTTCTTGATCTTGCAGTTGAAAGAGTTTAAAAACTATAAACGTCGCATTTGCTTCCGTTAAGCACTTTCACATCAAGTGTAAGTACAAACAAAACGTGTTTTCAGTTTCTGTGAGGTTACAAGGAAAGCCATATGCTTACGTTGGTTTAATTGTTACGTATTTTTGTTCGTGTCGAAGGTTGTTGACATTCGTGCGATTGTGTGTGTTGATGTTAGCGTTGTTTTCTTTACCTCAGGATTTAATCGTCTCATTGTACTGCTGACGTTCTGTAGCCGAGGTTCGGCTAGCGAAACAGAATTGACAGAATTTTTGTACATGTTGTACATTAGCTCAGTTTAAACGCTCACAAATAGAGTAAATATATTTAATCTCATTTTAGCCACATGCGCTTGTTATATATTTCTGATCCAGATCCACTATGAAGGCCGATATTTTACCACTGTTCTGGATGACGCCAGTTGTTTTGCAAATAATCCAAGACGATCAGCAATTTCTGGGATAAAACCTACAACTGAAGCACATTATGAAGTAATAATGTCACAAGTACAATATATATGGTATCGTATTAACTATCGATAGGTGAAGTGATGTACAGTAGTACAAGTTTCATACATGTGTGACAATTTTATCAACAAATATTTGTTCGATTATGCATCGACATGCAATGAAATTCCTCAACTGCAGAAATGTTGAGCATTTTTAAAGTCTTTCGGATCTGAAAATCGTGTAATATATATAGTAGAGCATTTATTTAGATTTGTTGATCCAGATCAACTGAATTCAGGGTGTGTTCACACTTGTAGTTTGGTTCATTTGACGCATTCAGTATTGATCAGCTAAGTCAGTCTTGTTCCTGGATGTCCAACTTGCCTCAACACACCTGCCAGGGTGTTTCCAGTATACCTAGTGAGACCTAGTAAGGTGTGTTTGATCAGGCTTGGAGCTAAAATCTGCAGGACACCGGCCCTCCAGGAACAAGTTTGGTGACCCCTAAGCTAAGTGTTCACACTGCAGCTTCAACAGGGTTTCTGCAGGTTTCACAGAGTTTAATTTAAGAGTTTTTAAGACATTTTTAAGACTATTATGAATGAAATTTTAGACTCATAAAGTGTTGAAGGCTAAATGGCCCACATGAAAAATATTTTTATTTGACTTATCCGAAAAGTAGTATAATTTAATATTTATATAATATTTAATAATACAATAATACAATAATAATAAACACTTAAATCTTTTAGATTTTATATCTTGCTTATAAAAACATGCAAGCTCTACTTGTATCCATACACCTTTTCCCAATTTTAACTTTCTTTATGTTTTAAATGTTTAAAAACTATAGTAAATTAAATCTTTGGACAATATCTGTCCAGATCAGTGTCCTCAGCAGAAAATACGGAGAACTTTTATACTTATGTTATTGCAAGGAAAAGAATTAAACCATTCTGATAGAGTTAACAATTTCCTTTTTAAATAAAATATAAAAAATTTTATTGAGATGCATTGTTGATGATTGTATGGGTTTTGGTCAGATTGGGTAGCAATACTTGAACAAAGGAAAATTAAGACCTGTTAAAAAAGATTTAAGACCAACAGCACAGTATTTCAGTAAATTAAAGGCTTTTTAAGACCTAAAGTTTGGATTTTGAGATTCAAGACATTTTTTAGACCGTGCAGAAACCCTGTTTTAAGAACAAAACTAAAAGTACTCCAAAAAGAGAGCTATTTCCATTTCCTTGATGTAAAATGTGTCCAAACAGCAGCAGAAATCCCCCTGTTGCATAATTTAGTGGAACCCAAACTTGATTTCAGCAATCTTATTTGGCTCTGATGGCAGTATTTGTGTTTATTTCAATAAACCGCACTAATAAAGTTCATTTTAATCTAAAAGAAAATCCCCTGCAATGTGTGAACACACTCATAGATGGCTGATAGCTTCTGGAGTGTAATAAACAGAAAGGAAATAGATTAAAATAATAGTGTACAGTATATGTAATGTCATCTCAATGTCTCTATCAAGGCTTGTATAATACTTTCGATCATTTCAACAACTGTGAAACACTGAATATGCCCATGTGTGATATTATTCATGTATGTTTGGGGAGGTTTTCTATGTACTTTTCTTTGTTTATGTAAAGATCCTTTTGTTAACATTTCAAAAATATGCGTATTTGGGTATTTTGGGCATAACCGTTGCACGGTGTGATGATTAGTACACTATTGTGGGGCCTTTGGTGAGACAGGACTTCCTGTGCAAAGCTTTGGCTGAGGTTTCATTGACATGCGGACTAGGAGGGGGCCAAGTCAGAGCACTCACTTTGGTCCCCCAGGCTCT